TCCGTTGATTTCAACTCAATCTAGGGCTTCCGTGGCCTTTTCATTTGGGAGCCGCCCAACATCGTCGAGGCTCTCCCGATCCGTCACCTCAATAGAGTTCACTTGCAACTCCTTTGGCATTTTTGCAGCAAGGAGATAACATGCTTGTGCCGATTTCTAGGAGCCACGGATTTGCTCGATGTCGCGTTCTATCGGGAAGCGTAGCAGCTGATGATAAGAGCTTGGCACGGCCTGCATAGTATGCAACCAGGATCGCCCCATGATGAGATTATACGGCAACGGCAGCTTGACGACCAAGAACTCCACATCCACTGTTCGGGAGCCCGCTCGAACGGGTAGTGTAATTTTCCCCAACGGGTATTCTGGATTGGCGTTGAAGCCGAATAGTGGATAAGAAGCCGGAGAAAGGTCCGATTCAGAGAAGCCGAGTTTGATGAATGTCTTGTAATACATAACTTCCGATGTGCTCCCTGGGTCAATGAGTACGCGCTCAACGGTGAATCGATTTACGCGTACCTCAATTACCAAAGGATCGATGTGGGGAAGTGTCACTCCGGCCAAATCTGAACCATCAAAAACAATGCTTGCAGCTTCATGGGACCGTTTAGCCGAAGTGAGTTGAGTTTTAGGGTCGGGATTCGACTGAATCGTATACACCGCGGATGACATTGACAGACTGTATATCATGTGGATCACGCCGAGCGGGGGTGAATCATGTCTTAAGGCTATTGCTTTGGTTGGGTTACCTTTTCGGACGTACTGTTGTAACCAACCATCTTGTACCAATTCCTCTAGGTGATCCTTCAATGCATAACAACTCTCAGTATTGTGGCCATGATCCTTGTGATACTCGCACTGCCTATCCCGTCTTCACGTGTCGGGAGGTCCCACCATTTTCGACAGCCATTTGAAGAACGGAAGGTGTTGGATTTTGGACATAACCGCACTGATCAGCTCTATCAACTCCGTATATTTCTTGTCGGCGCGCCTTGTGCGCTTGCTATCGACTTGCAGTTGTTCGCTTGCTCGGTGGGAGCATTGGTCGCTTGATCGGCGAGAATCCCGTCTCCTATCTCTTTTAGCCCGATGTCGCGGTTCAGAGCTTTGAGGTGGTACGGAACTTATCGGCTGAGCAATTTCAAAAGGAGCCGTCTTGTTGGCCACGTTTCCGGCTTTAACCCGCAAGGCGTCATCCTCCACTTTGCAGTATTCCTCAACCTTCTTCATCAACGACTAGACTGTTTTGAGGGGTCTTCTAGTCAAGGAGCTGCGGAGAGCACTGTCAGGATGCAAACCCATTTTGAAGGCAGTGATGGCCATGGAGTCGTTGCAAGCATCATCAACAAGATTAAAGCACTCCCAGTAACGTGCCGAATACACTCTTAGTGTTTCTCCTGGCTGGATCTACATTGCTCAGAGAGAGTTGGCTTGTTTCGGCTGGACCTCGTTGGTGATGAATCTGGCCCTGAAGGATTTCTGTAATTAATGGAAGCTTTTGATCGAAGCCGGCTCCAATTTATCATACCACCTGACAGCCAATGGTCCCAAACTGTTGGGAAATATTCGGCACATGAGGGCCTCGTCGTCTGCATGCAATGTCATGGCTTGGTTGTAGTGACGGATGTGATCGGTGGGGTCTGATTTTCCATCATAGAGAGTGAACGACGGAGCTTTGAACTTTTTGGGCAGGACCACCCTTGCGATCCGTCGTACAAAGGAATCATGCTGGTCTTCTTCGTCTAAACTATTTCTTATTCACTTATGCCTTATGCGTACACTCTCTTCAGAAGAACTGGTAGCTTCGAGTCGACCCTTCTTTTTGGGCTCCGGGGATAATGAGTCAGAGTCACTGTCAGTGTCCTATTGTCGGGCTCGAGGTCGTCGACCATCTGCCCTCAGGGGTCGTTCTGGATCTTGGCGTACAGCTTGTTTGGATTTCTCTACTTCCAGGGCCAAATCCTGACGAAGACATTCGTTTCAGCGATCATGTTCTCCAACCTCTGTTCGTTTTGCTTTGCTTGCTCCATAATCGCTTACATTGCCTCTTGTGCTGATGTTGAGAGTGAACCGAAGTTCAAGGCCCTTCTTGCGGTAATATTCTCTGGCCCAAGCATGTTGCTTGGGGTGGTTTCATCTTGCGGTGTAGGGTCATGAGTGACTGCTGGAGGATCTTCCGTCACGCCCGCCATGGATGTGCTTGAGTATTCCCACAAACGGCGCCAATTGTGGAGAAGTGGTTTAGAAATACTCTTCTAATCCTGGAAGACACTCATGATCCTCAGCTAGTCACTTGAAAATGAATAAACACTCCAGTTGGGGGTGCTGGAATTAGCACTCCGACGGGCAAGTCAATCTCTACACTCTGGATTACTTGTATTCTAAGCTAAGCATAATGGTTCTCACATACTTTTCTCTAATTGAAGATCCTGTATTTATAGTATTCCCTTTGGGCCTTAGGGCCTGGCCCATCCCTGATCCTTTACATGTACTTCTACTCGGCCTTTGTTCTACTGGTTGGTATGCCGGCTATTTTATTTGGCTCTTCAATTGACTGGGATCAATGCCGAGTAGGGGTTACGTTATGGACCGGACTGGTCCATTCTTCTCTATTGATCCAAGGAAACACGGCTCCCACAATCCTGTTTTAGTCAATCAAAAAAGAAAAATCAAGAATCATGTAACTTTTTAGACAAGTTCTCTTTTTAGTTTTGATATTGAAACTTATGATTTGTATGCTGGATGTTTACCTATAAATTAAGAGGAGAAAAAAAAAATTAAAACTTGACGTATCCCAACCGTACCTGTACCCTACATTTTTAAAAATTTGCCGTATCGATGTACCCATATCGTATCCGCACCCGCACCCGCACTTCAAAGGTTGTGTCTACCCAATTAAAATTCTAAAGACCACCTAATGCAGAATGGCTATTAAAAAATCAGTTCAACTATTCAATTGATCTCAAAATCAAAATATATGGAGAATTGTTTGCTTCGAAAGGAAAGAGCACACAAATCAATAGAACAGAAAAGGAGAAAGAAGAACACAAGAGTCAAAACCCTAATCTAAAAAACAGCCACAAAACCCTAATCAAAATAGGAAATCGAATCATACTATTATTTGGACACTAAATTCTAACAAAATTAAGAAACTAAATATTAATAAAACTTCTAACTTAACTCTAATTAAATAAATAAGTAAACATAAAAATTACAAATTATAAAATTATAAATAAAATCTACAACAATAATCAGAATGTGCCTGTTCCACATCACCACCTCTACCCTTTCCTCCTTTACATCCAACATGTAAATGCTTTCTCTCTCCCAAATATATAATACCCATGGCAGCCAAAAAACCCCACTTGAAACCATAATCATGCTCAAAAGTCAATTCCACAACCTCCATTTTCATATGCCTGGAGAAGGCCCACCATATCCTAGCCTTCACCTTCTTGCGTCCACCCACCATTAACAATCTGAACATTCCAAACTCAAAATCCACAAAACAGCAGCTGGCCCTATGTTACCAAAATATGTAATACCCTAACGAATTTCGTATTGGTATGTACGTTCCAAAATATGGTACACTTGCATTCCAAAACAATAAATTTAATGATCTGAAACGATCCCAAAAGTTTTTTCCAATAAATTTCCTTAAATGTTTCCTTACGAGGAAAGAATCAAATATAGTGAATTAAAATCTAAGGTAAATTAAGTTTTGACAAGACAAAACATAAAAAATGAGTCATAATACTCATAGAAATGTTTTACTTTATGAAGAAGAAAAAACTAAATTTTATTAGGTGCCTAATAGTTAAAAGAAAATTATTCTAAAAGTACCTTAAATTCGCAAGTATAATATATACAAGTCTATCCCTATCGTACCACATTTTAGAGCATGTGGCGTACCACATTCTAGAGCATGTGGCACACCACATTCCCGTTTCCCGTACCGGAATGATCCACGCTCCAAGTAACATAAAGCTGGCCATTGCCATCAAACAATCCCCATAGCCTTCAAGTTTAAGAAGCATGAAGACACAAGATTGTAGGTAATAAATAACCCCCACCCTCAAACAAACGAGAAAGCAAAATTTTACATGACTTGCAATTTTGTGTCAGCAAGAATGAAAGTTGAGGTTGGAAAGGTCAAAAGGTGGAAGCCAAGCCACTACTGTTTTGGCAAGAGTAATTGATGCAGACAGAAAAGTTGTCGGATGAGGAAGGAATCAAGCACATTTGGAAATTTAGATCTTTTAAGAACCATATCAATACTAGAATATTAGGTAGAATTTAATTATTTGGAATGTCTCAATTATTAGGTAGAATTTTATTATTTGGAGTGTTTTATAGTTTTGGAAACTCTTCATTAGGGTTTTTTGGATACCTATAAATAGCCGTTGTGTTAGGTTTTGTCAGCTTTTGATATGAATTTAATTGAAAATTTTTAATTTTGAGAATTAGGGTTTGGTTTATTCTTTTGGTTTTGCCCTTTTATTATCATCGTTTTCCCTTCTGCCGTCCTACACCAGTAATATATTCTGAAAATAAGCGACATGATCAATCCACAGACCCATCAGAGCTCTTTTACAATAATAACACACAAAGAACACATTTAACTACCGAAAGCTTTCTAGTTTTTATAACAAGATAATCTAGAAGTTACTTGATAAGTACTGAGAAATGAAAAACATTGCAGTGCTTCTACTCAGTACAATTGACAAGTCAATGCCAAACACACTTGGTTCAAGGTGGCTTCATACTTCAATCTTAAAAGACAATTTTAAACCTTGAATTTTCAGTTCTAAGTATACAGCTTTCTACCATGCTCATTCAGTGCTAAGAATTTTCAGTATTAGATTTTTAGTTTTACCAAACCACAACTTAGTGTATTGAACTATAGTTGGAAATTGCAAATGAAATAATAGGAAGAACCAAGTCAAATGTTACAGAAACACATGCTGGAAAACAAGGAGGGGGGATTGCTAATTGTTAAATACCTATTGCAGGCGAGGGTGATAACTGTTCGTACAATCCCATCAAGCCTCAATTTCTTCCTTTTCCTTGTTACATCAACTGATATTAGAACAGGTGTTCCAAGTGGAAAATCCTTCACAGCTCTTGTTACTCGTAATCCCATCACAGAAGCTCGAGATCTTGAAACCTCAGTTGAAAGTTTTCCTAACCCGAGTCTCTCCAAGGTTGTGCAGTACTCCACATGTGAGATTGAAGGGTTTCTCTGATACACAACAGCCCCTTCCCATGGTGATCCCATATCGTCATTTTCTCCTTGTTTGTCCTTCCAATCATATGTAATTGAGCCATCCTCACCAAACAACACATCATTGGAGTTCATGCATTCTCTGGCTATAAACCTCAAAGTGCTGGCAAGTGTTTTTTTCAAAATTGGATTGATATTTTTACTAAAGGAAGGGAGTCCTTGTGGAATATTGCAATGGACAAAACTGAAGTTTGGGTTGGAAGGAGACTTGCTTTTAAAATTCAAATCATATGATTTCAACAGGTTAATATGAAACGAGGGAATTACTGAGGACGAAGAGAGTATGATTGTCATCTTATGATGGAACAACCCTATAGAATCAAAGTAGATAAGGTTGGGTCCAAATAATCATGCAACCCAATGTAATGACTTTCACAGTGGAAACAACCTGCATGCCCATAAAATCATTAGCAAAATCCTCTGATTATCCATATCTATCTGCAACATGCAAGTGCCCAAATTCAGCTCTAGCTAATGCATTATGTGAATACATTATCAATATCAAGTTTAGAAGCAACAGATCTTGCTCCCACACAAAATACATCAAGACAATTTGGTAAACCTTGACGGCTTTAAATATCGGCCGTTATGTATTAGGATTTTGGACTTCTGATACTGTTATTCATCAATATATCAGCCGATACTATCCAATATCGTCTAATATTGGCCAATATATAACCGTATCACCGATACCAATACATATCCTGATACCTTTCATTATGTATGCATTGAGTACATGTGTGTGAGAGAGAGAGTGAGCGAACTATGTTGACTGCATTCTAAAGTTTTGTTCACATGTTAAAATGTTTTATTAAATATTTGGAGAGCATTCTGAAATAGAGAAAATACACTTCATTCAACATCTAAAGGACTAAAATTGTAATCACATAGTAAATTCATTTCTCAGTCCTTGTTTTAACAGTTACAAGAAAATAATCACATTTTCTAAATGATAACCAAACCAACATACTAAAAAATGTGCATGCTATCTTTTTACCTATGAGCTAGAATAAGAGTTGATGAAGGTGATAAAAAAGTGCCAATAATATCTGTAGCCTAAGAAGCACCTACTCGGTGATTCTCAAAAAATTAAGGTACGAAACCACGGGGATACATGAAAAAAAAAAATTGGTGATTCTCAAAAAATTAAGATATGAACACCACAAGGATACAACCAAAACAACAAATTTATATATTTTATTTGTTAATTTTATTCACAAATAACCAAAATTAATAAAAAAAAATAACCAAAATTCAACATGAAAAACCCACTTAGGCCAAGTTTGGTATTTCTAAAAAAATCCAAAAAGTCAAAAAGTCACTATCCTATTTAAGTCACATCATCTTATTTAAGTCACATCACCTCTCTATCACATCACTTCAAACCCAACCCATATTCAACCCATATTTCATAAAAAGTCAAAAAGTGCACTTATTTAGGACACCCCAAACAACCCTATAATTTAAACATCATTCATCCTTCAACATATAAAATATAATTTCATCAATCATAAACCATTATATAAAAAATGTCAAGAGAATTTAGGTTCAATAATTAAAAGATCATCCATACAAGTCACATAAATCACAAGTCAAAAAATATGTCATTTGATACATCATTACAATCTAAGAAACATCAACCAACATCCAACATTCAACAAAATGAAAAAACAAAAAGAGTAAGCCTTATGAAGCTTCAAACAGACCTAACACCAGCCAAGTCATCATCACAACACCATCCCCTTGGCCTGCACCACCATCGTCTATAAATAACACAACCTCCGTGTCAGATTCATCAAGACAGAGATTTGCAACCTCAAGCATCACAATGTCATCAAATGAATCAAACTAGTCTCTCGCAGTATCCCACATCTTGGCCTCTCCTAGATAGTATTGTGGGCTTTTTCTTGACAAAAGCAGATTTTTATGACTAAAAATGAGGTCTACCTCTCTCATATGAAATTTAGAGCACATATTAGAGGCATCGAAGATCTAATATTTTGGTTTTGTTTGTTACTTTAAAATTTTTCAATTATTGTTAGTTTCTATTGAACGGCTATTAGACCAGTGATGTTGTATGGAACAGAGTGTTGGGCAACCAAGAAACAACATGTAGATAAGATGAGTATGGTTGAGATGAGTATGCTCAGGTGAATGTGTGGCAAGACTAGACAAGACAAAATTAGGAATAAGTGTATTTGGAAATGAGTAGGAGCAGTGTTGTTAAAAGCGCGCCTAGGCACAAGGCGCTTCGAGGCGCAGCCTGTGCGCCTGAACTGGTCCCAGGCGAGGTGCGTTGAAGAAGTCGCGCGCCTTAGGCACAACTGGAAGCAGGCGAGAGAGGCGCAAGGCTCGTGCCTAGGCGCGACTGATGTTTACGCCCTAATCTTTGATCTAACGGCTGTGGTGTGTGTTCGGAATGGCTCTAACCACAGAGGATTACAACTTAGATACACTACAAACCCAATACAACTGAAACGAAAGCCCTAATCTGTGTCGTCTCTTCATCTCTCGACTTTGATTTGACTTCGACTTGGACTGGGCTACGACTTCGACTTCGACTTCGACTTCGACTTCCAGGTGCGCTACGACTTCCAGGTGTGTGTTCGAATCCCTAATCTGTGTCGTCTGTTTATTTTTTTATTTTTTTTTTCTCTTTCGGCTTCTTCATCTTCTTCGACTTCGACTCTCTCTCTCTCCCCTTCTGCCTTCTTTGACTGGCTTCTTCGACTTCGATCATCTCTCTTTCTCCCTCCTTTGACTTCGATCATCTGATCTAATGGTCATTTTATTTTTATTTTTTTTCTTCTTCTTCTTCTCTCCTTCTTCTTCTCTCTTCTTCGCCAATCAGTCTGCTCTGCTCTGTCTTCTTTTTTTTTTTTCTCAATTATTTATGCCTTTGAGTCTCTGTTAAAAACAAAAAAAAAAATATAAAATAAATACAAATACAAATAAGACTTATATTATTAATTGATTAACTAAAAAAATACACTAAATTGGTCTCTGTTATCGGTCTCTGTTTTTTTGCAAAATAAATTTTTTGTAAAAGAAATACAAAATAAATTGGTCTCTGCTATTGGTCTCTGTTAAAGAAAACAAAATAATTTTTTTTTCACAAATAATTAATTAACACATTGCTATTGGTCTCTTTTTTTTTACATTACATTATTTTCTAAATTGACACATTACATTACATTAATTATTTTTTAAATTGACACATTACATTACATTATTTTCCATTATATTACATTACACGGAGTGTAATTTTCCATTACATTGTATTAATTAATTTTCCATTAATTAATACACAATGCTAATGTAATTTTCCATTACATTACACAATTAATCACACTTACATTACACTGAAATTATTTTCCATTTATTAAATTTGTTGTGTAGAAAATATCATCGGAAAGTAATAGAAAAGATCCGGCATGGCAACATGCCCATTTGAAAATTGAAATGTTATGTAATATGCACTTTCATGGCTTTGAGAATTATTCTATATTTTGTCTTGAATCTTGATTACTTTTTATTTTTAAAAAAATTGTCTTAGTACTATGAATGATTAGTCTATGTTAATTTTTCTATTTTTTACGAAGACTGTGCGTCTTACTTCAATAAAATCAGCGTCTCGCCTCACGCCTTGCGCCTAGGCCCCGAGAGACCTTCAGCGCCTTAGTGCGCCTTGAGCTTTTAAAAACACTGAGTAGGAGTAGCACCGATAGAAGATAAGTTGAGAGAGAATCGATTGAGATGGTTTGGTCACATTCAACAGAGGCCAATAGAGGCAGTAATGAAAAGATGCGATACTATAACGGTAGATGGAAGTGTTAGGGGGCGGGGTAGGCCTAGATTAACGTTGACTGGCGTTGTAAATAGAGATATGGATGTACTTAATTTGACTAACGAAATGGCCTTTGATAGGGCCACGTAGAGAAGAATGATTCATGTAGTCGACCCCATTTGATGGGACTTAAGGCTTGGTTTGGTTTATTGTTTGTTACTACACTATAATGTCAACTGCTTTAAGAAACCTCCTAACAAACACTTTACTTACAATAAACAGGATAACACTACCTTAATATCACCATCTTTCTTCTAATCTAAATCTACCAGCCAAATAAAAAACTAAATCTAAATTTAAATTTAAATCTAAATCTAAATCTAAATCTAAATCTATCACCTGAGAATCACTATCTCCTCTAATCTAAATCCATCAACCAGACTAATAATTATAAATTTGTTTCCTAAAAAAACAAAAAAGAAAGAAAGAAAGAAAAAAAACTAGAACCAAAATTTTAATTTTTCAATTTCAATTTGTTTCAATTTTTCAAAATTTCAATAAACTGCATTCTAATCCTAATTCAACCACACACATGATTATCACATATCAGAAAATATCAATGATTCACAACAAAACAAGTAAAACAACTTCATCAAACTAAAGAACATAGAGTAAACCCCCCCCCAAAAAAAAAGGAAAAAAAAAACATAGAAAAAAAAAATCATACATGTGTTCAATTGTTGGACAAAGCTGGAAAAGTTATTGTGCTTGACGTACTTGGGCAACAATATACAAAACAGAGAAAAGTTAGAGTGAGAGAGAAAGGAAGAGAGCGAGCGAGCGAGAGAGAGAGAGGGACAGAGAAGCTAGAGACCGAGTGAAAGAGAGAAGCGAAAGGGAGATCCATATGTGATACTGAGAGACCGAGTGAGAGAGTTAGGCCAACATTCATGAGTGAGAGTGGGAAATAAATTGATATGATAAATGTCGTTTTAGCCACACAAAAAAATATCTTGAGGTTATTTTGGAAAGATAATAACGTAATTTGAAAGTCCATAAATTCTTTTTAATTTTAGATTGACACAAAAATATTAAAAAAACAAAAAATCATACATAAAAAAAGTTTAAAGATTACTTCTTTTGCTTCTATTTTTTTGTATTCTGTTTTTAAAAAGTCAAAAGTCATTTCTAAACATTGTAATTTACCTCATTTTAGTAAAAAAAAATCACTTCCCAACCGATCATATATTTTTCACCTCATAGTTGCATGTTTTTTGTAAAAAATTTAAAAGTCATTTGCAAACACATTTAATACATTCATCTCATATTTTAACTAAATTTTTTAAAAAAAAATACTAAAATAATCGTTTCCCAAACTAATCTTAAGTCTCATAACTAGGGGTGTGCGCCGTACGGTTTAGAGGTAAAATAGAAACCGCACGGCAGTTGGTAGATAGAGAAATTTGTCATTAGAAAAGGCCATTTTTCTATCAAAAAAAGGTATCTCATATTTTAACTAATTTTTTTAAAAAAAATACTAAAATAATCATTTCCCAAACTAATCTTAAGTCTCATAACTAGGGGTGTGCGCCGTACGGTTTAGGGGTAAAATAGAAACCGCACGACAGTTGGTAGATAGAGAAATTTGTCATTAGAAAAGGCCATTTTTCTATCAAAAACCGGTAGTTCGGTTGGCAAATAATTGTGGTTTCCACTTGGCGGTTAAGGCAGATTGGCTGATTATAAAAATAAAAAAAAAACATAATTCAAATTACAAAAGTTGAACCAAAGATTTTTTTTTAAAAAAAAAAAAACTAATTTATAAATTAACTAAAATAGTCAAAATTAAAATAGATGTCCATTCATCTAACACTTAACATTGACAAACTAGTCAACTAAAAATCCAACAATCCAAACAAATTATACAATAACAATCTAACAAGGCAATAAACACTAAAAAAAATAACAACATCCAACATCAAACAGAGCAGAAAACAGAAGAATAGTATAACATTAAGCTATTAGCTTTTAGGTTTTTGTCCACAAACAAACAAACAGAGCATGAAAACACTGCTTAAAGAAGAATATTGTTTGAAAGTAGAATATTTAAAAGGTTGATTTTACAGGAAATATAAAATAAACTAAACAAAACATCACTGAATACACAAAAATAAAATATACATTCTTATCCAGAAAATATAAAAATAATACAATCACTAAGAGAGAGCAGAGAGAGAGAATACAGCAGAAAGTGACCTGAGAAGAGGCAATCGACGGTGACGATCGGCAAAGAAGCCGATCGACGGTGACCGGCAAGGTTAGCGGCGGCGGCGGCGATCGGCGAGCTGAGGAAGAACGAGAGGAGACAGTTGAATGAGATGAGATGAGATGAGATGAGATGTTTGGGTTGGGAGTGTGAAAAAGGAGGTTAATTGAGAATTGATCGCGTGTGAGTGTTTGTATGTACACGGTGAATTAATAAAAATTAGTTTAAATTATAAACACATCTCTAGATTTGTTTAAAATATAAAAAAATTTAATTTTAAAATTATAAATACTTTAGGGCAAATTACAAACACCCTCTCGAGATTTGATAAAAATACAGATTTTCTCTTGAGGTTTGAGAAATTACAAATTACTCCCTGAGGATTAAATTTTCATAATAAATTAGGAAAAATTAGGGGAATCTGTATGAAAATAAAAATCTCAAGGGGCAATTTGTTATAGAAATATAAACCTCAAGGGGCGGGATGTAATTTCTCAAACCTCAGGGGAAATCTGTATTTTCACCAAACCTCGAGTGGGGTGTTTGTAATTTGCCCAATACTTTATTATCAAAAAAAATTATTTAACAGAATTAATTTAAAAAATAAAATTATAATTATGTTTTTATACAATAATAAAATTACTGAAATTATTAATTGAAACATATTTTTAATATTTTTAAAAATTATTAATTGATTTGATGATTTATTAATAAAATAAACGATTTGTTATCAAATTAAAAACCTCAAGGGTGGAATGTAATTTCCAAAATCATAAGAAATTATTCGTATTTTAATCAACACTCAGAAATATGTATTTATAATTTACCTTAAAAAATAATAATAATAATCAGTGTGTTTGGTTTTAGTTTTTTGAATTCAGTATTCTGAAAATTATGTTTTTTGTTTTTCGTATTTTTTTATTTTTAGTGATTATTTTTAAAATTTTAAGTAATTTTTTTTACTTTTTTAGATGTATTTTACTTAGATGTATCTAAATAGCAAAATATTTGTGAAAAATACTTGAAAAAGTAAATATACAAAAATAAAAAAAATTTAATAAATTTTTTTTTGTCTTTTTGGTATATAGTGAATTTTTTAAATATTTTTTTCACAAATATTATACATTTTAAATGCATTTATATTAGGTGTGCCGAAAATTTTTAAAAAAAAATTCTTAAAATATTAAAAAAATCATTGAAAACAAAAACAAATTCTTAAAAGTGTTTTCTAGAAACCAAAACCAAACAAGCTTAGTTTTTTTCATCTAACTATGTATTCTGATTCTAAGGGAAGTTGTAGGTCTGGTAGGTTTTTACAAATGTCTTTTATTTTTCTAACTAGAGCTATATCTTGCTGATTGAAGTATTTTTGTCCAGTGGGTGTGGTTTTACTATAAAGGGGTCCTATTATTTTACTGAGGTTAGGAATATACATTCGTGCATAATTTAAAATTCCTAAAAAGGATTGCAGTTGCTTTGTATCTTCTAATTTATCTGGATAGTCTAAAATTTTCTTGACTATATGATGTTGTAACCTAATTTTTCCATCTCCTAGCTCCATTCCTAAAAATTCTATGTAGGGTTTGTTTAATACCATCTTTTTCTTGCTGATTATTATTCCATTATTTATGAATTCTTCTAATGTTATATACAAATGATCTATGTGACTACTTTTATCTGGACTGAACACTAATATGTCGTCTATATATACCAGTATAAAACTATATTTATTAAATATACTATCCATTTTGCGCTGGAATATGGAAGGTGCATTTTTTAATCCAAAGGGCATAACTAGCCACTCATAATGTCCTTGAGGGTAACAGAAGGCTGTCCATGGTATGCTTTCCTTTTCCATTTTTATCTGCCAAAATCCTGACTTACAATCAAATTTGCTAAATATCTTTGTTGTCTGTATTCTATTTATGAGTTGGTCTTTATCTGGTATATTATATTTATCATCTTCTGTATTATCATTTAATCTTTTATAATTTATCACCATTCTAGCTTTTCCTCTTTTTATTTCTGCATGATTTCTAACCATAAATGCTGCGCTCCTGTGCGGGCTATTGCTGGGTCTAATTACTCCTAGATCTAGTAATTCTTTAATCTGTGTTCTAAATTCTTCTATGTCTGCTGGTGTATGATCTATTTGTGCTGAGGTAATCCTATAGTCTTTATTTTTTATATCTAGACTAGCTAAAATTTTATTTCTTTCCCAATATTTCATGGGCTGTTCTCCTAAAATTTCTGTTGTTTCAGCTAATCTTATTATCTCATCTAAATCATTTTCGGTTTTCTTGTATATTGGTTTTTTCTTTATTTTTCCTATTTTTGCAAAAATTAATTCTAAATTAGCTGGTTGTTTAAAATCTTTTAGGTTCCAATAATCTTCCTTATTTTCAAAATCAAATTCTTCTAAATCATAATTTTCTGTTTCTAAATTTTCTAAAGACGTATTTGCTATCTCATTAGGTATGTATTTTTTAGTCTTTTATTAAATTTTACACATGACCATTTGTCAATGACCGACCAAACGATGGGATTTTGGCGGCACAATATGTTTTTCAATTGAATATTTACTTTAGGCTAGACGACTGACTGGAATTGATGATTATATTAGATCAATTTTTTTTATCAAATTTTCACTTAAATTTAATGAAAATTTTAAGTAAGTGTTAGAAAACGCCTTCAGAATATAAATAAATCTTCTTTTTTTTTTGAAGTCCTTGCAAGCAAATAGTAGGTTGAGTAAGAAATTTGAAAATTTTACAATCCCAACCGGTCTAATCCAATTTAATAGGTTAAAATTGATTTTTAAATCTATGGTTTTGTTTTAGATTGGAAAATTGGAAATCTAATTTTTGCAGATCGATTTTGGATTAGAGTTTACGTGTCCGAATTAGAACCAACCCAGATCGTATATAATTTAAATTATATACATATCATATATCATGATGTATATAATCCTACTTTCTTATATATTATGTTTGTTTAAGTTAAAAGTAGAATAATATACCTATTTATACTTCAAAAAATTATGAATAAATTAATGTTGAATTGAAAATATTATATAATTATTTTTTTTATAAACCGATTATGTCAAATCATAATTTTAAATTGAATGTATTTAAATAATTTGATTCAAATTAGTTTCAATATTTAAATAGAATGAATTTTTATAAAATCGTGGATAAAAAATTAAGAATATTGTTATAAATTAAGAATATTGTTATATGTATTAATTAATATACTAATTAATATATTAATAGATAATGTGATATAATTTTTGAAATTTTGGATATAAATAATGCTATATGTACTAATTAATGTACAAATTAGTGTATTAACAGATGATGTGGTATCATTTGTGTGATTTTGGATATTTGTAACTTGTATAATAAATATGGTCAATAACAATATTATAATAGTAATTTGTATACTAGTGTGTACACTAATTGATGCATATAACACCACCGTTTGACTATTTATAATTTGTAAAATAAGTGAAATCAGTAATAATAACATAATACTAATTAATATACTAATATGTACATTAAGACCTCGTTTGTCAAGTGATTTTTTTAGTCAAAAAGTTAAAAAATACTAAAAAATCAAAAGCTAACAACTTATACAAAAAAGTCAAAAATTATATTTTGTCTCTACTTTTTACTCATCATTTTTATAAAAAATTAAAAAATCATCCTAAACATACTAATTTTTTTTATATCATATTTTAGCTAAAAAAAATTATAAAAAAAAAAAAGCCAATTCCCCGAGGCCTAATTGCTACCATCGAAAAATTAATTGTGATTTTATTCAAACCGAATCAAATCAAACCATCGCATAGAGAGAGGTTTCGGAAGGGGCGGCGAGATATATCTATCTAGGGTTTCTGTTGTCAATCTCTGGCATCGAACAAGAAAGATAGAGAAAGAGAGATGGATTCGTTTTCGTCACCATCGAGTGGATCATCGTCGCAGATGTCGACCGAGGACTTCATGAGCCAGCTCAAAACTCAGCTTGCCCAGGCTTACGCTGAGGAGTTCCTTGAGGTACTCTCTCTCTCTCTCTCTCCCCGTGTGTGTGTTAATCGGGTAGGATTGCATAAAGTTCAACATCATTTGTCTTTGGTGGTATCATTGACTTTACTGTATCTCTGTGTACTTAGAAGTCTACTTGTGCTTCTTTCTTCTACAATATATTGCTGCATTTGATGGAAAACGCAGTAAACATGTTTAATGTAGTGACGGACTATTTTATTGATATCTTAGTGATTGCTTTCAACATAATGCTAGATTTCTTGTTTTTATTTTCATCAATCATGAAGAGGTGCTGTACCACTGGCTTAGCACAAACTCACATACATGCATACACTTACACTTGTGTCTCTATCACTTCCCAATTCTTTTGATGATTTTTTTAGGAAAGCCCTGAATTCATATGACTGGAGTTCCTTAATGGTTGGAAATTGGTGACCTTATTCTGATTCATTTTCAGTGATCTGGATATTACTTATATTGACATAATTAAACCATTGTCTTGTCTAGCCAGACCATTGAGTTTCAATGTTAGATTCCAGGTGGGCAGTAGTGGCCAGACTGCTTTTCAATTCACTTGTATACTTTGGTAAATAATATTATAATATTACAAGTAGACATCTTCGAAGCTGTGGATCCAGTGTGGCATAATGGACGTCTTCACTTTTTGAGCTTAAGCCTTTGCTTTTAGACCATAGAAGAATGTCATATGAATCAGTAAGAAACATGTCTTGTCAAGCTTGCATTATTTATTTTATTTATTTTTATTTTTTTTCATTTTTTCCTTTGTTTTCTTTTCTAAGCATTTTCTTTGGAGGTGTTTGTTAGAATAATCTATAACTAAGAAGAAACAAAATTCGCAACTTCCTTACTAGACTACAATTTAATTGTTTGGCAGTTTGAGACTAGAATTTGATGTTTTTCAGGACTCATGGTTTTGAAAGTAGTTCACATGTAATTGTATCAATGTCTTCTTCTCTCTCTCTCTCTTTGAGAGCAAGATATTTTGATGGAAATCATGGGGAAAAGATTGAGAGGAGGCGAATACTGATGTATCTCTTTATATATATATATATATATATATATTTATGTAGTTTTAATTTATTTAAGATTTTATTTATAGGAATTTCTTAGGATTTAGTCTTTTATTTGATTTATATTAGGATTGTTGGACAATTGTATACATACTATACACACATGCACACATATTGGGATTGGTGTAATGATCTATCAGAGAATTTTAGCATAATTGGGAAATTAATAATTTTCTACATTCCTTTATTGCACACTCCTCCTCCTCCTCCTCCTCTCCCTCTCCTTCTCCCTCCCATTTCTTCATCAATTTTTGGAATTAGAGTCCAACAACGACGCTTCATCAACCATCGTTGATCTATTGTTGCTGCTATTTTTTCCTTGCAAACTCATCATCTTGCCGTGAGTGAAGCCTCAGTATTTCTCATTGTCATCACAATCAAATATTTTTTTTTTAAAGTTCATCATTGTTTGTTGACAATCTGCCACCGACTCATTGTTTGAATTAATGATGCTTGTCGTTGTCAGGACCCTACTACCCTCATTGGACGCCTATCACATTGATTGTGATCTACATTCCCTACAACATTCCTAGCTTTGACTGTCACCTGAATTATTTTGTACTTTCATGAGTAGGAAAACAATTGATAGAAAAAGGTTAATCTAACCCAATTATTGACCCTTATTGACTGAACAAGTATTCCTTGAACAAACCCATTATCTATGAAGTATGGGTACTCAAAAATATTGTTGTATGAGTACCACCAGGTAAGTATTTGGTACAATACATGCTTACGTGAGACATGTATTCAATATAAAAAATACTTTGGGTATGATTTGAATAGGGATGGGTAAGGGGCAAAAATTAATTTTCAAAAAATGTATGGGTACTGCCTATGAAGCACAGGTACTCCAAAAAGTGTCGTACGAGTACCGGGTACTTACCGGGTGCGAGTGTGGGTACGCGTACCGGTATGGCGGTACGCATACCGGGTACGGAAAAAGAGGGTCCGGTACGTTTGGTTCATTTGGGTATGCCGTGGGTACGGCGTTGGTACGTTTTGGGTACACCAGGGCTAATTTTTTATTTTTTTATTTTTTTCTGCCCTTGCAGATCAGGAATTATTATTATTATTTTTTTATTTTTTATTTTTTATTTTTTTACCCTTGCAGATCAGTAATTTTGATGTTTCTCTGCTGTCTTGTCTGTCTGTATTAATTGTATAGCATATCAGCAAATTATTTTGATGTTTTTAAAAAGCAATTTGAACCAAAAAAGTAACAAGGCCTATAAAGGGTAGTTCTGTGTGTGACTATGCATTATGTTTTTGTTTCAGATCCTCCTAGAATTTCTTTATAAAATCTTTAATCATAACAAACTTTTAAAGTTTATGCACAAAATATTAAAAATTGATACTGCATTAGTTGATTAGTAGTGGTTAGGAGTGATGCAATTTTATGTATTATGCAAATTGCAATTGACAACCTGTCCAAATTGAGAATTTTTTTCCTTTATTGTTAGCAATTAACTTTAAATCTTTCTTTGGTCTCCTGTTATTTCTTTGGTCTCACCCTATAAAAATAGCAAATTGATGAGCAAAAAGAAAGATTTTAAAAATAAATTATGATCACAAATTCACAATGCATAACATGTCAAAATGAGAGATTTCACAATATTATTTTTAAAGCTTAATGGTTTTAAATTATAGGAAAATGAGTAGTTTTTTTTTTAGTTTTGATATTTAATTTTAATTTGTAGGTTGGATCCTTTAACCATAATTATATTTTAAAAAAAATAAAATATCGGCGTATCGCAGCCATACCCGTATCGTATTTTTTTTGAGTTTTGCCGAATCGGCGTACCCTCACTCATACCCGTACCGCACTCGTACCCGCTCCAGTGCTTCCTTGGGTATTGCGTTTTTTTTTATAAGAATTTAAAAAATATAGAGTTTTGTTGCAATTATAAAAAAATATAGCAAATACTTGAGGTTCTTTTTTTGACCATTACAAAAATATTTTAATATTTTTTTACATTTGATTTTTTATTTGTTAAATGTCATATACTATTGCAAATTATAAAAAATATACTTTTTATAGACGTACCAGACCGTACCCATATCCTACTCTTTGTAAATTTTGCCGTATCAGCGTACCCGCATCTACGTCTGCATCCATGCTTTCTAACGTGTTGTCCAACCTAATACAATCCAACCACCATTCCACCTTAAAACATCCCAAACCGTACTCACCAAACATGTCATCTTAGTTAAGGCGGTAAACTGACTTGACCCAATCCAACCCAAAACACTTGTGGCCCAAATCTAGCAGCACAAATCTTATCTAAACCCAGTCCATTAATTGTTAATTGATACATCTAAACCAGACCAGTCACAACAAAATCAGACCATTAAAAAAATGAACCAGAATTTCAGCCTTTTTGGAGTTGTTGCCTATATTTTGGAGCATCAAGATGCACTTAGCTTGAATTTGATCTTGAAAGGTGTATGTCTTTTCTTGAAAAATCAGCTCACCATATAGTTGTTATTGTGATTCAATTAGTTTTGCAAAGGTTATCCTTAAGTTCAATCCCTCTAGATTGCTTGCGGCTCAGTCTCATTCCTTATAAGCCAGAGCCCCTCCTGACAACTGTATTTGAGTCTGCTCACTTCTCACTCTACTAACGCAAGGCAAGTTATTATTGATATTTGACTGCCGGTGGGGAGACCATAGACTGAACTGAAACCATCTCTGTATGGAACAAACATTCTTGCCGATTGCTTAAACTTTGGGAACACATCATGATCTGGACTGAAGGAATGATCCATCCGTCTCACCTAGTCTTGGGCAACCCTTAATGAAAGTATGTCAAACTTGTAATTTTACAAGATTCACATGTCAAGGTCTTCTTCCCACTCTTGAGAAATCCTGAGATCCACTTCCAAGATATTGTTGGTAAAGAGCCTAAGCCAGAATTTGACCAATTACTAATCCCTTTTCTCTAATTCATACCAACAACCCTCCATTACTTATTAATGTGTATATATATATATCAGCAAGCTTCCATCATTGAGTGTTACCATTGCTATAGTAAGGGTTGCATTACATCATGTTGTCTCCATCGTACCTTAACTACTGGCCATGTGTCGGGAAACTTATAATAGAGTATGTCGACCAAGTGGTCAAACCTCTAGATGAACCCTTACTCGGAGGAGAAAGGTTAACAAATCTTAGAGAACGGCCATACTTGCATTAGTGTCACAAGATGCAATTCATCTACTTATGTTGAGGAATATGCTTCATGATTGTAAGAGTATCATGTGAAAAAAATCCCCTGATGCTTATATTTTACCCCTTGATGCTTTTCTTTCTGATTTATTTGTTCAATACCGTCTTGATTTACATGTCGATTCAAGTAATAAAAATTATAAGCTTGCTATTGATTTTTGCATCATAGGAAACTAGATTTTAATGAATGGGACTGTGTCATGGTTCGTGTGTGACTTGAGAGTAATTGTAAAAATTCTTTCGAGTAACTTCATGCTTGAGCCACTAAGCCTTTCGTATTATTTATAAGCTTGGAACTAATGCATATTTATTTGACTTTATATATATATATAACACTTTTAGTCCTGTTTTGAATGTTGGTTTACTTACCGAGACACGTTTAAGCCTCCCAGCTAGCCAAAAAAAGTTTGCCTACAAATAGTGTTCCTTCGACATTAGCCATATCACCTTTCTGTGTCTTTTTCCACTTCTACTGAGCATGAGTATCATATGGAAGATATTATTGTGATTCAGGATGTTGCTTCTTTGCATGATAGCGTTTGGGGTTATTATGCATTGGAATAATTGTGCTGATCAACTGTTACTTGGATTATTGAGGACGAATTTGTTGCTTTGATAATGATTTTTTCTAATTCTATCACTGCTTTACTATCCAGAGGAGAGTTCTTCTCAATCTGGGAGAATGATGTAAATCGAGAATGAGGAAAAGACTATTTATATTAGGATTATTGGACGTGTGTATATAGGGAGGTGTAATGATTGATGTAATTTAATTTAAGCAATTTAAGCAACCTCCATTTCATTCTCTGGTTCTTTCGCCCTCCTTCCTCTGTTCTCTCCTCTCTATTTTCCATGCTTTGCAAATCATCACTGTACATGCGTCATATTTGTTGATCTTTTTTTGTTGCATAAAATCAAGAAATGACTCTTCATATCTACAGTGATAAAATTGCTAGAATAGGAATGAAATCTGTTCCTTTTTGGAGGAGGATATAAAGTTGATTCATTTGAGTCTGCCCAGCAATGAATGCATGTGAAAAATTGAGCCAGTAAACTTATTGCAGTTCACGCCGAGGAAAATGTAAATGCTTGTAGGAATAAGCTCAATCAATTATGACAGACACTTTGTCTTAATAATACTCCAAAACTTGGAATGGGTTTCCTTTTTGGAGGAGGTTATGAAGTTGATTCATTTGAGTCTGCCCAGCAATGAATGCATGTGAAAAATTGAGCCAGTAAACTTATTGCAGTTCACGCCGAGGAAAAAGTAAATGCTTGTAGGAATAAGCTCAATCAATTATGACAGACACTTTGTCTTAATAATACTCCAAAACTAGGAATGGGTTTTTGAATTATGGCCACTTGATACCTGAAATTCTGTCTTTCGTAAACAATTTGCATTACTACTGATTTTATTAGTATTGAATATGTACAAGTATATAGCATATATACCATTTTAAATGTCCATCATTTAACCAATATGTGTTGTTCAATGTCTGGAACCTTCAGCACAGGCCTTCCTTCCAAAGCTGAGTGGTTCACTTGAACCAACATGATCGCAAGCATGCCATGGCCCTCACTTGGACTAATATATTTGCACCACCTTGATTATTTTAATTTTCCCCAAATGTAATTTTTGTTCCTATTCGTTATTTGCTGATTTGTTTTTGTGGATTGTCACAGACTGTAAGGGGTAAGTGCTTTGAGAAGTGTATCACCAAACCCGGAAGTAGCCTTAGCGGGAGCGAGAGTAGTTGCATATCTAGGTGTGTGGATCGCTACATTGAGGCCACGGGTATTATCAGCAAAGCTCTTTTTAGCTCCCCACGCTAAAATTGTGAAGAGCACACAAATGACAGGTGTGGAATTTTCTAGGGAAAAAAGTTAATGAAAATAGGAGGGGTTGAAAATTGTGTTCCCGTTCCTAATATCCATGAGGAAAGTAGGCCATTTCGCTTTGAATACTATTTTTTGTACTTGGTAATCAGCCATAAAAACTTTGGATTTCTCGACTTTTTTGTTTTTAAATTATCTGTTGCTGATTGATTTCATGTGTGTGAATTATTAGCAATGGAACAGATGATTTTGACAGTGTGCTCACTCGGGAGAGAAAAATTATAAGGGTTTTGCTATATCCTTTTTGGGTAAATTACACTTTGCATCCCTGCACTTTATACAAAATTTCACTTTAGTCTTTATACATCAAAAGTGTGACACTTATCTTCCTAAAAGGTAATTTCTGTTAGCCTCACTATTAACAGAAGGGCTAATGTGACACTTTACCAGAAGTGTAGGGGGTTAAGTGTCATAATTTGATATGTAGGGACTAAAGTGAGATTTTGTGTAAAATGTAGGGGTGTAAAGTGTAATTTACCCATCGTTTTTACAGTGCACATGATATTTCAACATTATGCTTGACTAAAAATCCTAAACCATAACCCCAACAACCAAAGTTACATACGACTGCCTAACAACCAACCGCTATATAGGAGAAAAATAAATATTACAAATATCAAATTCCTTTTTATAAGAGTTGCACTTATAATCTCACACCAGAGTGGTACTACAACTCTTAACATTAATACTTGAAATGTGATTCAATCTAGCCAACTTGAATGTCAACACTCCAAAGAATAGATAATGGATGTAGGAGATGGGATGGGGTTAAGAAGGTATATTAAGGGCAAGTTTGGGAAGATTCAAAAAAGCTAAAAAGTCAAAAAGTTACTCAAAAAGCTAAAAAGTTAACACTATTTACCAAAAGTCAACAATTACGGCTGCACAACTCCCAATTCAAATTTTTCCTTACAAATCAATTTTTACAATTTTTTATTACACATTTTTCAATAAAAAGTCAAAAAGTTAACCCAAACATCCATATTTTCAATCTCAATTTTTTAGTCCAAAAAGACAAAAAGTGCACTTTTTTAGCCTTCCCAAACTTGGCCTATTTCACTTTAGTCTTTATACATCAAAAGTGTGACATTTATCTTCCTAAAGGGTAATTTCTGTTAGCCTCACTATTAACAGAAGGGTTAATGTGACACTTTACCAGAAGTGTAGGGGGTAAAGTGTCATAATTTGATATGTAGGGACTAAAGTGAGATTTTGTGTAAAATGCAAGGATATAAAGTGTAATTTACCCATCCTTTTTACAGTGCACTTGATATTTCAACATTATGCTTGACTAAAAATCCTAAACCATAACCCCAACAACCAAAGTTACATACGACTGTCTAACAACCAACCGCTATATAGGAGAAAAATAAATATTACAAATATCAAATTCCTTTTTATTAGAGTTGCACTTATAATCTCACACCAGAGTGGTACTACAACTCTTAACATTAATACTTGAAATGTGATTCAATCTAGCCAATTTGAATGTCAACACTCCAAAGAATAGATAATGGATGTAGGAGATGGGATGGGGTTAAGAAAGTATATTAATAATGTGTTTTTCACGCAAAGAAAGAAAAATATTTTAAGAATCCTTTTTCTTTAATTTATATAGTTCTTACTCTCTTTGACAATCACTACACATCAGGTGCCACCTTTTGGTTGCAACACCGAAAATAAACCTGAGACAGCAGCAGTAGGTTCTATACTTCAGTGCTAATATATTCCTGAACTAACAATGATGTCACAACTAAGTTGAGCACAGAGAAGAGCTCTAAGATGTAGTATCTTTGGGTTGTAGTATCTTTTGTTTGGGTAAATTACACTAGTAGTCCATATACTTTACCTCTTGTGCCACTTTGGTCCTTGTGTTTTCAATTTGTTCGACTTTGACCCTCAATCTTTAATTTCGTTTCACTTTGGTCCAATCAATAGCCTCTATTAAAAAATTTAACAGAAAATAATCATGTGCACAATATGTGATCAACTTTGAGGGGCAAAACAAACATTTCAAACCTAATCTTCCCTATTCCATCTCTGCAACACCCTTTGCTCTTTCCCCCCTCCTCTACCGTCTATCACACTGTTTATCATCAATCTCACTCCACCACCGCCATTGCTAAACAACACATCCGCCACCATTTGCCATCAAACAACACCTTCTATCCCAACCTCGACATCACCTATTTTGAATTACCGATAGGTCAAATCCATGAGTACGTGTTCCAAGCTTTGGATGAGTCAGGGAAGCCTCACTGTTTGGGTGGTGATTACTTCGAAATCGACCTCTTTGGCAATCGATGGAAGTCTCAACCTCCGATTAAAGATTTGGGCAATGGAACCTACTATTTTTCTCTCCAAATCCACCTAGATTTCGCTGGAGATTACAATCTTACTATAATCTTACTCTTCAAACACTACGAGGGTCTGAAATTTTCTCCACAAAGATTCACAATTGACAAACAAGTTCGCAAAATCCAACTCAAGTTCTTCAAATCAATGGCTGAATTGCAATAAATTGGGATCTGTAACAAGTTTGATTTTTCGAGAAACGTGTGGTCTGGTTGGTGGACTCAATATGGGAAGAACGACAGTTGCTGGATTGACAGCAAAGGTCAATTCAAATGCTTCGAACCCACATACCCATGTTGGGTCCATGGTGCCATGGAAATTTGGGAGTTTTGGAGAGCAATGGTTGGACCTATTTGACCCATTGCTCGTTTCGATTGTTTTTAAGGGAATCAGCTCGGGATTGTTTACAGGGTTGGTGGATCTTCTTTTGGAGAGACTCGAATCATTGCGATACGATTCGAAACATGCTTCAATTCATACTCAATGTGGAGGACATCAAAGTGGTTCCGAGGAGATTTGATATGAACATTATGAACCCGAAACAAGCAATCTCTATAGAGACTTTTATCATCAAGTTCATGAACCTTGGTTTCATCAACAGATCGATCGCTCCATCGAAAAGTCTCTGTTTTGGTATCCAATGAGATCGATTCATGGGTCGATTGTTGAGAAATTTCACCATGTGATGAACCCATATTGGTGTTTCCATCAACATATATCCTTGAATTTCCCATTGTTGTACTCGATTCGAAGCGACGCCATTGTCTTTGTCTTGAAGGTTGACTCGATCTAAGTTGGAAGCAAACTTGAAAATGGAAATTACACTCTCTTAATTTCAACAAACACTGATCTTAATCTCTCTCTCTCTCTCTCTTTGTGTGAAGGTTGTGAAAAAGAAATTAAGTGGGTTTTTGGTGCGGTGGAGGTGAATGGTGTTGATGTTGGGATTGGCTATGGATGATTTTAGTGGTGGAGGAAGGCAACGGTGGTAGATGATTTTGTTGCAAAGAGTCTAAGAGGAAGAAGATGATAAAACAAGAAAAGGGTAGTGAAATGTCCATATTGTCCTTGAAAAAGGGTCATGTGCGTCTCACGTGTTTGTTTTCCGTCAACAATTTTAACCAGTGTTAACAATTGGACTAAAACGATACAAAATAAAAAATTAAGGGTCAAAATCGAGCAAATTAAAAACATAAGGACCAAAGTGACATAAGAGGTAAAGTATAGGGACTATTAGTGTAATTTGTCCCTTTTGTTTTGTTTTTTTTATCTCGGTTGAAACTATAGCTTTTCTCTATCTCATCCTTGATTTTGCTATGTTTTTGTATGGATGTTATGAAGGAACTTTGATGTAATTTTCTAAGTTTGTATATTTGTCAAAAAATAAAATAAAATAAAATAAAATAAAATAAGAAAATAGAAGAAAATCATGATTTTCATTACATTCAATTGGTAGCACTATGTGTGTGTTTGTGTGTGTGTATGTCTCTCTCTCTATATATATACAACATAGGAGAGCACAATAAAAAATAAAACTAACTTCTAATTATTATTTTTTTAGGTACAACCAAACTGACTTCTAATTATTGGAGTTATTGCTGTAAAGAAAATCATGCTGGACTGCTTGTACCAAGAAAATATAGTAAGTGACTTCGCACCAAATTTCTCATAAAATTATTTGACTACTTAATTAGTAATAATTATCATAGAGAATCCCTTTATTATTATTTTTGTTGAGACTCCTTTATAAGAAGTAATGTTTACAATATACAACATAATATTGTATAGTGATCAAGAACAATTAATTCATTTATAATTGAGATATAAAATAGAGGTATAAAAAAACTTTCAAACAAAAGGAAAAATAAATAAGTTGCCACTATGTTAAAAAGTGACCCAAATAGAATATAACATTTTTGCAAATAGTGTATACAAACTTGTAGAACTAAAATTTCACTTTTAGTAACATGATCACTAAATTATAATTTAATTTAAAGATATTTAACCCATTCTGCAAATAAGTTTGATTTACATTTTTTTAATATAATATATTCATTCAAAATAATGTCGCACTAATAATCTCTCTTTAGCTTATGAGTCAATATTTTAGTTGAAATAAAATAATCACATACACATCATTCTGTTAAATCTTATAAATGTGCGTGTTTATATATATATACATCATTCACATAGAACAATGCTATCTAAATACTTTCAAAGTAATTTTTATGGGTATAGTATTGTTCATTCACATGACGTAGGAGTCACAAAAGCATGAAAGTTTTAAAGGCCAAGTAATAAACATAAACCCTTGATCAAGTAATATACTTTTCCTTCTTTCTCTTTCTTTTTCTTTTTCTTTTTCTAAAGGGGAACATATGAAATCCTTGCATTGTCGAGTAAGCAAGGCATGCAGTCAGTCCCGTCCTGCACTTTACCTTTAGTCTACCTGTATGCAAGTAGTATTATTAATAATGTTATAATGATCATATTTTTAGCATGTTTTTGTATATCATTTCATATGTCAATATTATATTCGTGACAAACTCATTAAATTAATACAATTTAACACATAAGATGATAAACAAAACATGATAAGAAAATGAGATTTTATAAAAACATTATTGTATTATTATTAGACTCAGCCCTCCGGTCCTCACCTTCCCCTTCCCTTTAAATCCAGAGCCAACCTCCAACTTACAGCTGCAACTTGTTCATTGCACAACTCTTTTTCAGTTTTAATCTGTTTTGCATATTTCCTGTAACCTCTCCAGTCT